AACTGAAACAAAGAAAAACAAATATCAAATTGATAATATATTGTGATATTTTCAGTCGAGGGTAATGCGAGTCACCTCCGACGAGCGTTATTTATTTTACTAATGCCAAACTGTGCACTGGCCCCTCAATGATGCCCAATAAAATAGAATATACTCTACGCATGCCAGAGTAAGAAATTTGTAATTGTATTACTATTTATTTGCATATTTATATGTAGAAATGGTCCGTTCTATTATCGTGCACAAACAATAAAAATTTCCAAATCTGAATATTTATGGAAACGAGCTCCTGAATCTTTTTGTCAAGATTATGCTGGCTTTCAAAATTATACAAATCGATTTCTTGCTATTCAATATGCGATTGATATATCAATCATTGGATATGTTACGAATAAAACAAATTTATTTTCAAAAAATGTAAATACAATTCTATGTTTAATTAGTAATCGTTTACATTTTAATCCAAAAAAATAGGTATTTTTCAATCATTTTGGTTGTCCAAAAGCTTATGATGATCAATTAAATTCAATTTATGAATCATTTGTTCCAATATATTTTTCAATGATATTTCTAATAACATTTATGATTAATATTGGTTATATTGTTGAAGAACGTGAAAATAAAACTAAAGTAATAAAGTTTTTGAATATTTCGCGAAAATATCTTTGAAATTAAATAGGAATATTTACGTATTTACGGTCTTCGAACTTGGATAAATAACTTTGTATGGATGTGTCGATCTATGTTAATCTATGTTATATTGATTTCAATAGTAACCGGCCTGAGTGTCATATCAATACCAAGTTCTCAGCAAAGACAAACAAGTATTGATCGAGCAATATTTAACAGTACACACTGGACATTAATTTGGACAGTTTTATTTATTTATTCCATTGAACTTTCAGCATTTAGTATTTGTTTTGCACAGTTATTTAAACGTGGTTAGATTAGTATAAAGAAAATTTTCGATTTGTCTCAACGCTTTTATTTGTATGTTTTTAGTGTTATTAGCAAAACTAATAGGTTTTATTCTATGGATAATTACATTCATTGATTTTTATCGAGATGTCTCTTCAGTTGGTATTCGATATTTTTCATGTTTATTTCCAAATTTAGGTTTATTATTTTCGTTGCAAATTATTTTGCAGTATGAGCGAAAAGGAAGTGAGATTCATTTAATGTTTGTTCAACATTTCAACGATGTTTTCTTTAGCCAAACTAATGACATATAAAAATTTATATTCAAATTTATTTTCCTATCAATTATATGTTGGTTTATGCCTGCTTCTAATGATAATTTATTCGGGTTTCTATTTACTATTAGCGATCTATATTGAAAGAATTCATCCAGGAGAATTCGGTACTGCAAAAGAATGGAATTATTTTTTTAAATGTTCGTCAAAAGCAAAAACAAATGATGAAGAATCAAATCAAAATGATAATAATACAAATCATTCGAGTGAATTATATTCAATGAATAAGACAAAAATTCCATTGATTAAAATTTCAAATTTAACAAAAGTTTGATGAAAAGGAAAGGAAACTTTAAAAAATTAATCGCTGGTTGTTGTTTTTAGAAATATAAAAATTTTGTTGCAGTTTCGGATTTATCTTTGAATTTTTATTCAGGTGAAGTATGTTCACTATTAGGGCCTAACGGGGCAGGTAAAACAACAATAACATTTCTAATCGTTGGTAAGTATCAGTTGTTATATACCAAGATTTGTTTTTTTGCTATCAAACGTTAGGAATGTCACAACCAACATCTGGTACGATTACAATTGATGCAAATGCTAGAAAACTCTTTGGATTTTGTTCACAATCTGGTATGAAATTGAAATATTTTTCAAAAACACGGAAGTAATTTTATTTTAGATATTCTCTATGATGAATTATCTGCTGAAGAGCATTTAAAATTAATTGGAAAAGTATGTTAGAATTCAATAAAAACATATATGATCTGTGTTTTTTTAATTATCATATAGATGCGTTCCATGAATTCTATATTTTTAAAAGAATCGATTGAAAAGATTCTTGAATTAATTAATTTAAACGAAGATCGGGATACATTGACAAAAAATCTATCCGGCGGTATGAAAAGACGTTTATCTATCGGTATGTCATTATTTGGTGATCCAAAAGTAAGATTATTGGTGTTGATATTATTTTAAAATGTTTTCTATTTTAAATAGATTCTTATCTTTGATGAACCAACAGCTGGCGTCCGTAAATGAATTGAATATATAGAAAATTAAATTTGTTATATTCTCCTTCTTTAGGATCCATACAATCGCCGTTTAATTGGGACAACTATGCAGAAAATGAAATAAGCAGGAAAATGTGTCATTCTAACAACACATCTTCTCGAAGAAGCAGAGATTTTATTTGATCAAATTGCTTTCATAGCAAATGGACATCTTCAAAAATATGGCACACCTGATTTTCTTAAAAATCAAATAGGTCCTTCTTTTTTAAATATGTTTTCCATTTATTTTCGGATATATTTAGAATTCGAATATCGATTTTTTGTTGAAAAAAAGCAAAACTATGAAAATGAAATTATTACAAAATTCATTCAACGATATATACCAGATGTAATACTAGAAAAAGAATCGCCAATAGAAATGATTTTCGGCATAAAAAGAAATCGTTCAAAACAAATTAGTCGTTTAATTTCTGAACTGGATAAGAGAAAATTGAATATTGGAATTGAAGAATATGGATTTTCAATGATTACAATTGAAGATGTCTTTCTAAAGTAGAGATTTTCTGTTTGAATCAAATTTTTTTCTTGTATTTAAAATTAATTAGATTACTTCGTGAACAGGGAGAAAATTCAATTCTATCCAATGAAATCGAAATTAATCATGGTAAGAGAATCGATATCAGAGTATCATTACTCTATATCTATATTTATCCAACAGAATTTCTAATAATAGAATTGTATTGAATTTCACAAGGAACAAAATTTATTTCAAAGAAGGACTTAGCACAATTAATAGAAATCCAGAGGATAGTTTGTTTTTTCGAGGAATTTCGTCGACGAAAGGTCAATTATATTGAGTGTTAAGCTATGTTCTTTGATAACAGAAGATAATAAGCGAATGATTTTTCAATCCGGACGAATTCTTCTTGAATTGGTATCTATAAAATCGCATATTGAGTTAAATGACTTACAGATGATCGATAAAAACCATTCAACATTGTTTATATTTAGTGTTCAATAATAATTACGAATATGAAAAAGGCTTTCGTCTAACCATTTTTCGTCTACTTGCATTATTAATCAAGCGATGGCAAATTTTACGGCGACGATATAATTTTCTTCTTGCATTTTTCATCTTTCCAATTCTATTTCAAATTCTCATTGTTATTTTCATTCCATCAGCACAAGATACTCAAGCAGCATTTGCACATAATGCTCACATAAAAGATGCCCAAGTTAAATTTAATCCATCAAGCTATAATCCGCATACTGTGGTAATTTATTCCAATGATCATGAAACATATATTTATAAAAACTTAATAAATTCACTTGAAAAATCTGGTGCAAATATTGATGAAATTCACACTAATGATATACTTGATTATATTCATGATAGATATTTAATTGACGAAGAGACTTTTATTAATAAATATCAAATGGCATTTTCAATAAGTTTTAACGAAACATTAATAGAAAATCCTTTTAGTTATAATATTTATTTCTCAACAGTTAACTTTCATGTTATGCCGACAAGTTTAAATATAATGTCATCCAATCTATTTCAATATTATTCGAATTCAACGTTAAAACAAATTGAAACTATAAATCAACCAATAATTATACCAAAAGAGAGTAGCAAATATATCGGAGATTTCTTTGATATTTTGTATTGTTTCGATGTTTTACCATTATCACTATTTAATTTTATTGATAGTATTATCGGTATTGTGTTCATTGGAATTCTTATTTTACCCATAACGCAAGAACGTTTAAATCATTCGAAAAATTTACAATTATTAACAAATTTAAGTAAAAAAATTTATTGGCTCTCCAATATAATATTTGATATATGTTTATGTCTTATACTTTCAAGTATTTTAACAATTATTCTTAAGGTAAAGAAAATTAAATTGATATTAATGTTGTTATATCTTTCCTTAGATTGGTTCAATAATTAATTCAAATCCTCAAGCTGAAATCCAAATTTATAGAAATATTGAACAAATTGGATATTATTTTTTAATAATTTTCATGTATTCATTAGCTTCAGTGCCAATGATTTATATTTATTCATTTATTCAAAAATGTGAGTTTGTTGGATTTATTATATTTTTTATTATAAACATATTGGCTTGTTTTGTTGATATGACTTTTCATTTGATTTCAGTAGTAAAACAAACAGAAGTAACAAATGCGACAAGTATAATCAATTTATCAAATATTATGAATCAAATGACTTGGATTATAACAGTACTTTTTCCATGTGTAAATTTCAAGCGTTCATTATATAATATTCGTTTGAAATCAGATAAATATTGTATTTCTGTATATAATTCAGTAATGTTTACTAATTATTCTTCAAACAATTCATGGATGTCAATTCATGAACCAGCAATTGGAATTTTATTTATTATTTTTTCTTGTCAAATGGTATTCTGGCTTCTTGTTTTAATTTTAATTGAAAACCGAATTTTATTCAAGAGTATTTATCATAAATGTTGGAAGAACAAGAAAAGAGAAACAACAAAATCAAATCAATGGACTGATACAGTACGTAAAATATATTAATAGTTTTTTTTTCATTCTCTTCGTGGCAACTAGAGATAAATTGAATGAAACTAAAAGGAGATATCTTCCTATAAGTGTAAATCAAAACGTAATCGAAGTTAAGAAACGCGAATCGTGTGCTAGCTGTTTTTTCTAAACAAAGTAGAGGACATGATTTCACACGAGAGAGTTGTGCAAGTTCTTATCCTACGACGAGTATTATTTTGTCAATTGAAGCTTATTTGAGAATATTCCAGCCAGTTTTTGAACTTCCTGGATATTTAAAACGTAGTCTTTGCGGCGAAGAATGAGCCATGCTGATCGGTAATAAATGGCGCAATCGTATTTTCATTTCATGTGACTATTTTATTGTCACTAACAATGTATAAATCAGAGATTTGCATTCTGGCACTGCCACTACCTCGGCGAACATCTCTGGTATAAACAGCGCGCATTGCTGAATATTTCGACTAAATAGTTTATAAATCAGTTTTAACAAATCGAAGCGGGAAACTAACAGGCTCAGACTCTGAGAATCACGTTAACGTTAAGAGTGAAATCAGCGATAGAATCAACCTAATGTCAAGTGTAGTTATAGGCGAAGTTAAAACGTGGAGTCAATTTAGAGTCGTGTAATCACGCACTGTACTCTTTCCCATTTGAACAAACCTGATCAGATTTTGCTGACAAAATGTGTGGCCAATTTCATCGGTAAAATGACAATTAGTACAGCGAATTATTTTTATCAGTCTCAAGTTATTAAAGAGGAAACAGCACATGTCTTGGTTGCACAACTCCACCTCGATACAAAGGGTCCAAAGTCTATTGTTTTCCTCTTGTAGATAACGATCTTTTGGATGTTTAAGCTAGAACGCCAAATTTAATTTAATTTTGAGGTCTTCTTTTTATAGCATTTAGACGAAGACGTACGAAATGAACGTGAATTAATCATAAATAAAAATACTGTATTGGATACATCAATTATTTTTGTTCGCGATCTTGTACAAGGATTTAAGAAACGAAAAGAAAAATCAATGCATCGACAATCGTGCACAATTATTGATCATTTGAATTTTTTTGTTCCGAAACAATCATGCTTTGGTTTATTAGGTATATTACATATCATTGCTTTTGTTTTCGTTTTCTTAAATAATTTTGTTTAAAGGAGCAAATGGCGCTGGTAAAACAACATTATTTCGAATGTTAATTGGCGAATCGAAACCTATATCTGGGGATATATTTATCAATGGGGAAAATATTAATAAAATAGTTAAATATTGAAGAGAGTTCGCTGTTTTACTATATTTAATTTTTTATTTTAGAAAGATGCTATTGATATTGGCTATTGTCCACAATTTAATTGGCTTATAAATAATTTAACTGTTACTGAAACAATAACTTTATTTGCAAGGTATATTCATGCATAAAACTTTAACGTATTTCGATCTAATTCTATATTTAGATTAAAAGGAATAAGATGGGCAGAGTTACCTGAATTATGTAATCATATGTTACAAATTTTTGATCTTGGTTTATATGAAAATAAACAGATACAAGAACTTAGGTATGTTTTCTCAAAGATATAGTAATAGATTTCGTAATGATGTCTATAATAGTGGTGGAAATAAACGAAAAGTTAGCACATTGCTAGCATTCATGGGTAAATCAAAGATCGTACTTTTAGATGAACCAACTACGGTAAGAAATATTAGTGATAAATTTTAATAATTTGTTTTGTGTTACTTTAGGGTTTAGATGCACTTGCGAAGCGAAAACTATGGAATATTATTCGAACAGCACATCACTTTGATAGAACTGTTATTTTAACAAGTCATAGGTAAAAGATACTTTTAGTACATAGAAATGAAGTTTTCGTTTTAAATTAAAATTTATGGATATAGTATGGAAGAATGTGAAGCATTATGTACAAGTTTGTTTTTCTTTTGATATAATTAATAAATGGAAAAGGAATTATTCAATTTTAGAAATTGGAATTATGAAATCAGGACAATTATTGTGTTTGGGAAATTTACAAAAATTAAAACAACGTTTTGGAAATGGATACATTATTCAAGTTCAATTATCGTTCGATTCAACCGACAGATTTTTAGAAGAATTGTTATTTACTTTTCCTCGAACAGAAGTCCAAAGTACTGAATAAAATATTCTTACTTTCAAATATAAAAAACTTTCATTCTATAGAACGATATAATGGAACATTATTTTGTACGATACCATTCCTTACAACGACTGAATATCCTTTAAAGTTATCGTTCATATTTCGATGGTTTTATAAGAAAAAGAAGGAACAATTAATCCGTACTTTTGCAATAAAAGGGCCAACACTTGAAGACATATTTATTCGTTCAGTTGGAGAAAATCGAACGACAATTGATATTGGTTCTAATGAAATTATATACACTTATTTATGAAAAGTAGTTGTTCTCTGTGAATTTGAATATAATTAATCATGTCCAAAAACTAATAATCTATACATATATATATTGCGTAATTCAATTAATTTTCTCCCTGCTCATTTTCTCCTTTAATCTACTATATATAGCAAGATAATCCATAACGGGTGGCATCTTTTGACACTTCTGTATAAGGGGACTACACCCCCTTTCTAAACGGAAAAGAATCTTTTTTCCATTTGTTTTATTTGGTATAAATGTCATATAATGGGGAATATGATTTTGCACGAAAATCATTTATATTAAAACTGTTTAGTTTGTAACAAATTGATATTAAGTCACATAATCAACATGATCCTGTTGATGATTTAAATAGTTCCTTTTTTTGAAAGAAAGGGCTACAGGCGCGTTAAAAGTTTGTTTGTCCAGGCCAATCAGAAATGAGGATTTCCTAAATCATGGACATTTACCACTACCAACTAGAGACCGACTAGTAGATAGGTAATCGAGGTCGGGTAGCTCGAATCCGCGATTAGCTTTTGAGATTTCAATTAGTTATTTAGCTAATTAGCTAACTACTAATTAATGAATGGAAAGTTTTTTGGTGATCGAGTAAGGGTTAACTGAAGGGTAATCGGTGTTGAGGGTCTCGAATCTGATGTTAATTTTTCAGTAGAAAAATTCTATTCTGTTCTTTTTCAGACAAGGGGCGAGTTTTTGCAAGGAATTTTTTTTAGGCGATAGTATTTGAAGCAGCAATGTGTAGAGCAAAACAAAATAGCTGATTAATATCCGATTGTTCGATATTCATACTCATAAGCAGTTATATTACAGAAACATCATCTGATGCTAACCACTCAAAATAATACTGCCCCTGAAAAATGTTGTTTTTGGGCAGTCACAGTGGCACAAAGATGATGATTTTTTAACAGGGAATAGAACGAAATGGTTTGATTCAGTTTGATGGGGATTTCAAGCTAGATGAGAAAACCAAAGTTGGGCATGTAACGGCTAGCCGCGAGTAGCCGACCGACTAGATGTCGATCTGAAGAGTAATCTTTTAAACAATAGGTTTTAGCGATTTTCATATAGTTTTAAGATTTCTTAGACGGAACTTAATCATCGATTCGCGAGAACATATCCGGTAAACTTTTAAGTTGCCTGGCGATGAAGAGATGAACGGAACCTTTTGCAGAGAGCGGTATATCTATGTACAGTTCCTTCCTTTTTGGATTATGGATTGATTTTTCAGAACGGACTTCTTTTCAGATAGCATCTTCATCTGGATAAAGTGAAAATAGGAAAATACATAGAGACCGCTAGCCGTGAGTGGCCGATCTGAGAGAGACCAACGACCAACCAGGTGTTTGTTTGAGTTGCTCAGAGGAGATAAAATAAGTGTAAGTAAAATGATTTTTTATTGTAAATAGTGGGAAGAGAGTCGATTAATAAATGTTTAGAAACAGTGCTTCTTTTGCTTACATCTTTGAACAAATGAATTGAAAGTAGTTTGACATGAATAAAGTAGAACAGGACTAAACGAAAAGAATGTGCATAAAAGTGGCTTTCATGCGAAGCGAATTAGAATGAGATATATGGTGGAATTTTTATCTAAAAGTCCTGCAAGTCTTTCAGAAAAGGATCAGCGAATCCAATAGATGAGGGCTACTTGTGAATATATTTATTATACAGTGAGATAACTCCGCCAAGGACGGTCCCAAGCCCGGCTGCAAAAGGAAATCATCGCACGCGAGCTATCCAGGTGCAAAATATCAATTTCAGTGCTATCCGAACTAAGAATCACGGGATCTGGGACAATGACAATCCAACAGACACAAACCGATGACAAAAGCGAGAAGCCAGTGTTAGATTTATGGTGAACAGTCAAGCAGCCAAAAGTCTGATCGCTTTCCAACCGATATCCGGTCGTCTAGTGATCCTCACCATCGACGACACCATTAAGACACACATCGTCTCTATCTACGTACCATCTGAGGCCAGTCCTGACCCAAAGAAGGATGACTTCTACAACCAGCTTCAACACCCATTCGACTCGATTCCACAAACTGAGGTGACCATCTTGGCTGGAGACTTCAATGCCCACATCGGTATGGGCAGAAATGGATAGGCAAATTTGGTCATGGCAAAATCAATGACAACGGTTTGCGTTTCTTGTCCTTTGCAACGGCTAACAACCTGATCGTGGGAAATAGTCTATTTCAACATCCCCGTAAACATCAACTAACATGGCGAAACCCATCTGGAAGGGACTCAGCCGTATTGGATTACGCGCTGATCAATTCTCGGTTCAGATCATCACTCAAGGACGTCCGTGCCATGAAAGGGCTAGACTGTGGATCAGATCACTACCTCGTCAAGGTCGCGATACAACTGCGACTACAACGGGCTAAGAAGAAATCATCATCGTCAGCCAAACTGGGCTGGAGACAACTGATGAACACCATCCTGAACTGTGCCAAACACCTGTGTCCACCCACTCGCCGAAAAACGCAGCCATGGATATCGAACGAATACCTTGACTTGGTGGACGAACGATACCGACAGCCGAACCGCGAGATCCGAAACCAAATGAAAAAAGAGAGAGAATCTCATTGAAACCAAATGGCAGCCAATCTGGAAGAAGCAGCATCTAGACACGAATATCGCACTCTTTATCAAACCCTGAAAAGGTTGAGTGGAAAAGCCAGATCGATCAACGATAATATCAGAAAAACAGACGGGATGTTTGTACGATCATCTTTAGAACGCTTAGAACGGTGGAAGGAATTCTCCGAAGAACTGTACAACCACGAACCACCTCAAGGACTACTAGCAGATCCGCCTCGCATCGATNATTAATAAATGTTTAGAAACAGTGCTTCTTTTGCTTACATCTTTGAACAAATGAATTGAAAGTAGTTTGACATGAATAAAGTAGAACAGGACTAAACGAAAAGAATGTGCATATAAGTGGCTTTCATGCGAAGCGAATTAGAGTGAGATATATGTTGGAGTTTTTATCTAAAAGTCCTGTAAGTCTTTCAGAAAAGGATCAGCGAATCCAATAGATGAGCGCTACTTGTGAATATATTTATTATACAGTGAGATAACTCCGCCAAGGACGGTCCCAAGCCCGGCTGCAAAAGGAAATCATGGCACGCGAGCTATCCAGGTGCAAAATATCAATTTCAGTGCTATCCGAACTAAGAATCACGGGATCTGGGACAATGACAATCCAACAGACACAAACCGATGACAAAGCGAGAAGCCAGTGTTGGATTTATGGTGAACAGTCAAGCAGCCAAAAGTGTGATCGCTTTCCAACCGATATCCGGCCGTCTAGTGATCCTCACCATCGACAACACCATTAAGACACACATCGTCTCTATCTACGTACCAACTGAGGCCAGCCCTGACCCAAAGAAGGATGACTTCTACAACCAGCTTCAATGCCCACATCGGTATGGACAGAAATGGATGAGAAACAGTGATGGGCAAATTTGGTCATGGCAAAATCAATGAAAACGGTTTGCGTTTCTTGTCCTTTGCAACGGCCAACAACCTGATCGTGGGAAATAGCCTATTTCAACATCCCCGTAAGCATCAACTAACATGGCGAAACCCATCTGGAAGGGACTCAGCCGTATTGGATTACGTGCTGATCAATTCTCGGTTCAGATCATCACTCAAGGACGTCCATGCCATGAAAGGGCTAGACTGTGGATCAGATCACTACCTCGTCAAGGCCGCGATACAACTGCGACTACAACGGGCTAAGAAGAAATCATTATCGTCAGCCAAGCTGGACTGTGCCAAACACCTGTGTCTACGCACTCGCCGAAAAACGCAGTCATGGGTATCGAACGAATGCCTTGACTTGGTGGACGAACGGTACCGACAGCTGAACCGCGAGATCCGAAACCAAATGCCAGCCAATCTGGAAGAAGCAGCATCTAGACACGAATATCGCACTCTTTATCAAACCCTGAAAAGGTTGAGTGGAAAAACCAGATCGATCAACGATAATATCAGAAAAACAGACGGGATGTTTGTACGATCATCTTTAGAACGCTTAGAACGGTGGAAGGAATTCTCCGAAGAACTGTACAACCACGAACAACCTCAAGGACTACTAGCAGATCCGCCTCGCATCGATCCACCAACGACTACAATGCCTGCTGACGAGCCAACAATCGAACAAGTGAAGACAGCCATGCAGCCATTGAGAAATGGGAAAGCAGCAGGTGCGGACCATGTTACCGCAGAAGCAATCAAGACCGGAGGAAACGTCCTGCTCCATCGACTCCACGCACTTCTCCAAACCATTTGACGTACGGAGCAAATACCATCTATATGGAAAAAGGCAAGCATGGTTCCAATCCACAAGAAAGGCGACAACAGCGAATGCAAAAGTCATCGCGGCATCAGTCTCCTCTCGATCGTCGGAAAGGTCTTTATGAAAATCATCCACTCAAGCCTCTAGAAACACAGAGGACAGGCCAGTCGAGAGGAATAAGCCGGATTTAGACCAAACCGTGGGTGTTGTGACCAAATATTCTCCATCCGGCAACTGATGGAGGAAACCGAATACGTGCCCCTCAAGATCATCAAACTCCTCCAAACAGCATGCAATGGATCAACCAGCCGTATCGGAATTCGAAACGAATCGTCTGAGGAGTTTTCCATTCGGACCGGAGTTCGACAAAGAGACGTCGTCTCTCCTCTTCTTTTCAACGTCGTGATTGATGCCATCATAAGAAAAGTATTCCAGGACAGAGGCGGAATCCAGTACAACAGGGACTACTTCACAACTGACCACATGTTCGCCAACGACGATATCGAAGCCACAAACATTCTCTACGATATCGCTACCATCGCCCAATCATACGGCCTAAAAATCAACGTTGACAAGACAAAAGTATTGACGACAGATAAATCACCGATTACGGTACACCTCAACAGTACGCAGATCGAATAAGTCCAGGAATTCAAATATCTAGGATCCCTGATACAGGAAAAAAGAGTAGCGGCAACATCGGAGATCCATGGCAGAATTGGACAAGCAGCCGCGGCATTCGCCTTCCTCAAATGGTGCCTATGGAAACGAACTAACGTCTCCAGCAACACGAAAATTCGTCTCTTCAGAA